GTCCTGAAGCTGCTGAGCGCTGGCTCAACCCAGTTGTCATTGCATTTTGGTCTTGTTGGCATCATGCTGCTAAAGGAACTCATTGTAGGGACTACACGGCTACAGACTAACACGGCTACATTTCTATCACTATTTTCATTGTAGGGATGAATGTCTATTGTGCTGTATTGCAGGTAGCTTTGTGTCTGTGATGGAGCTGTTTAGGTGGTAAAGAAAATTTGAGCCCATGTAACCTGTTGCAAAGGAGTTAAACTCAGGACCATCCAGGAGAAAAGTGGATGTTGTAGCACTACGTTCTCTTTCAATTCCAGTCAATGTCTAATGCTTTTAAGTGTTTTAAAATGGTTACTGTAATGTGTGTCTCACTTCTATGTCTGTCGTTGGCATTTAGCTCTTTTGGAATAAAACATATTTAAGGAGTTGGAATGTTCTAGTCAGAGTTCTGTATAATGAAGTGTTGGAGAATGAAATTAATAATTAATTTTGATGTCTGATTATTTTTAAGAATGCTTAATTTCTCTTTCTTTTTCTTGCGCAAAATTTTGGGGACTAAGTATTTTTCCAATGTGTACATATTTAATTTTTTTACAGTTGTAGGAAATTATGAGGTAGGGTCACGCTATAGCTTTTTAAAGACAATAGAAGTTGAGATCTAAAAAAATATTTTTTTATAACATTGAAGCACAAATTGTTGCTTTCACATGCAAAATAAACAAAGCAAATATCCTTAAATGGTTGTCATGATGAGTGCTGAAGCGGCGTTTTTCTTATTTTGCCTATTTGTATATTTTGATTAAATGGAAATATTTGTATTGGTTTCTGTGTGTAGTGAAATTAAACATTTTTCTGATTAAAATCTAATCATTCCAAGCTTATGTATACTGTACTACAAGGCCTTGGATTCTCTAGCAATCTTAGCCTGGAACATATATCTGCCTCAGATTTATTAAAAATTGAAGTTTTTATGAAATATGAAAAGTAAATCTAAGTATAGGTTTTTTTTATATTGAGTTTGGCTTATTTTTTGCTGCTCTTCTGCTTTCAATATATAATACCAGGAAGCATTCTGTATTAAAGTGCATAACTTAATTGTACATTGTGAATGCAGAGGGAGAGGGATGGATCTGGCCTGGAAGTTTTTAAAGATTTGTTAGAGAACAATTAGAGCAATTTTAGGATTATGTGTTTAATATATTAACTGAATGTTTTTGCTAAAATATTAAGCAGCAAAATAGTCGACATTATCCTTAGAATGCAACCTGAAACAAAAGAGAGAACAATTTATTGAAACAAATATACTTCATACCTCATGGAGCAATAGTTTCTAGCTGTCTGGAGATTCACCAAGACAACATTGCATTAGTTTCTGCTTACTTTGTGTTTTCGAGGTTATCTTTATAGCCATGTGGTTTAGAAACATAACTTGCTAAAATTTAAAGTTGGTATTGTATACTGTAGTTATACAGCAAACATCCTCTGTAGCAGATGTTGCAAAATCTTAGACTACATAGGGCTCTGATTATACTATATCTCTGATTCACCAAAATTTCTGCCTAAGTGATAACTTAAAATTAGTACATGTTAAACCTCTAAAATCTGGGACTCTCTCGTCTGGCAACATCTGTGGTCCAGCAAGACCATGGATATTGCTGGATCAGAGAGCCCCTGTTGGCTAGGTTCAGGGGCTGGGCTGGCGTTGGGAAGTGCAGCCTTGGCGGCAGCAGGGTTGGCATGGTGGACAGCAGAGTCCCTGTCTGGGACTGGTTGCAGGGAGTGATGCAGGCAGTGGGGCCAGTGCTTGGGACTGTAGCCCTGGCTGAGCGAGCAGAGCAGGGAACACAGCCCCAGCCGAGCTGGCACATCGGGAAATGCAGCCTTACCTGCGTTGGAGGCAGTAGAGCCAGCAGTGCAGTGAGGAGTGCAGCCCCGGCCGGCAGTGGGGCCTGGCAACCCCAGCATGGTGAAGAACAAAGCCCCATCCCTATACAACAGTGTAGCCCCAGCAGGCTGGCAGAGCTGACATATGTTTTGCTCTCCCCTCAAAATCCATGGTTCAGTGCTACTCAGCAGTGAAAATTGGTATCTGCAAATGTATGGCATGGGTTAAAATTTATATTGCACATGTATAACTCAAACCAGGTTTGGCTGTGCTTACCTTGAGAAGTCTTCACTGCTCTGCAGTTATACAATGGTCTGTTTGTACAGTTTTGGGTGTGTGTTTTTAGGAGATCATGTTTAGAAATATATTTAACAAATAATTATGAAAATCACAGAGAAGTATAAGCAGAAGACATGTGAAGAAGAAATAGGTGTCTTCAGACTAAGTTACTGAATTGCTAATTTGGTAACTAATTTAGAGGATTAGGAATTTCTTTAGATTCCTTGGTTTACAAAAATAACCACTCTGTCCTGTACTTTACTTTGCTTCTGCATTTTTTTTCCTAGTCCAGGTTTGCAAGTGCATTTTTCTTGAAGAAATGGGTATTGCTAAATTTACAATTTCAGTGGTGCTAACTGTATTGTTTTTCATGCCTCAATTTTAGTAAATACAATATTTATTGTATTTTTGTTTGTTGCTGCTTTGTTAATATAGAATCTGCCCATCCAAAATTATATGGATAGTGTGTATAAATTTTGCCTTTTATTTTTTAAAATATGGATGCTGCTTTAACAGGAGTGCTCTGCTGCAGACAACACAAAATCTCTTCATTGTGAGTGGAAGTATTTTGTAGATAAAAATGCCAACAAATAGCATTCATACATAGTAATTTTTGGCAACAGGGCTGTCCATAAAAAGCTGCATAGTATAGATATACCCATAGGCTACGTCTAGAGTGGCATGATTTTCCGGAAATGCTTTTAACGGAAAAGTTTTCCATTAAACATTTTCGGAACAGAGTGTCTAGATTGGCACGGACGCTTTTCCGCAAAAGCACTTTTTGAGGAAAAGTGTCCGTGGCCAATCTAGACTCTCTTTTGCGTAAGAAAGCCCCGATCGCCATTTTTGCAATCGGGGCTTTTTTGCGGAAAACAAATCTCAGCTGTCTACACTGGCACTTTTGCGCAAAACTTTTGCGCAAAAGGGACTTTTGTCCGAACGGGAGCAGCATAGCATTTCCGCAAAAAGCACTGATTTCTTACAGTGGGAAGTCAGTGCTTTTGCGGAAATTCAAGCGGCCAGTGTAGACAGCTGGCAAGTTTTTCTGGAAAAGTGGCTGATTTTTTCTGGAAAAACTGGCCAGTCTAGACACAGCCTTACTGTCCAGTGTAAAAAGAAACAAAATAAAAATTAGTAAGTCAGATTATAGGGAAGCTTCATGAAACTATTTTTTGAGAGTGAAAATAGCACTAGGACATTCATATCATTAAGTTGATTTCTGTGTGTATGTTATAATGTGCAGTTTATCAGATACTCATAAATAACTTGAACAAGCTAACATAGTAAAAAAATAAGGAAAGACTTTGACATACTAATGTGGATCTCAGGAATTACAATAAAGATTGTTTCCCTTTGAAAATTGTATATTGGTAAACATTTGAAAATAGTGTGTGTGTGTGTGTGTGTGTGTGTGTGTGTGTGTGTGTGTGTGTGTGTGTGTGTGTGCGCGCGCGTGCACACACACAGTATGATGAGCTTTCATGGATAAGACTCACTCCTCATCTGATGAGGTGGGTGTTACCCATGAAAGCTGCTCATATTATACATTATTGTCAGGTGACTACTTGTTTTTAAAGTTACACACTAACACGGCTACCCCCTCTGAGACTGCTAAAAATTAAACAATGATTAAAAAATTTAATTGTGATTAATCATGCGCACTGCCCCTTTGCTGAGGTGGCGTTTCAAAGGGGCAGTGCTGCAGAAGCCCAGAATGAGCTGGAGTCCCCAGCTGACCCTAGCTCGGTGCAGCATTGCCCCTTGGAAAGGCCACCCTGGCATTTCCAAGGGGCAGCACCATAGGAGCCTGGGTGTCAGCTGGGCACTGCAGCTGATCCTGAGCTCCATGTTATGCTGTCTCTTTGAAGCACCATCCTGGCGCCTCGAAGGGGCAGCGTGTAAGGAGCCTGGGATCAGCTGGAGTGCCCAGATGATTCCCAGCTCCACATTGTGCTGCCTCTTTGAAGCACCGCTCCAGTGCTTCAAAGGGGCAGCGCGTTAGGAGCCTGCAATCAGCTGGGGACTAAAGTGGCACTTCAAAGGGTCAGCACAGCATTAACACCTGTGATTAGTGTGTTAAAAAATTAATGTTTTAATCCTGCCTTGCATTAATCGCAGGCGTTAATGCAGATCAATTGACAGCCCTACTAAAAATGTGATTAGTGTTGCTTTCCAGGTGGAAAAGTTTTTATATGTATCAGCTTTCCTAAATTACATATAATACTTATAATTTTACATATTATACCTCCTCCCTGATAGCTTATTTTGCATCTTTTTAGGTATAATAATGAAGTGTTCAGAAACAAAACTTTTCATAAAAAGAGTTATCTATGTTTAGCCATGTTTTCATCATAACATAACATTTTCATTCTAAAGTAAAACATTATATAATTTGAATTGAAACA